GGGATATTCCCTTATCCCTCAAGAACGGACTGTCGGAAGAGGGTACTCACAAAGGGCGATTGAGACGTCTGCTAGAAATATATTCATTGGTGATGTCAAAACAAAAGTTATTTCGTTTAAAAAAAATGCGCTTTATCTGCACAAGAGTTGTGCACAATTTATACTTGTTATCTACGTCACCTTTTTTTGTTCCGAAGAATGTTAGTTTCGATCAGATTATTTTTTCCGTACGGTTTTAAAAATTGGGCTTTATCTGCACAAGAATTGTGCACAATTTATACTTGTTTCTTATTATGAACTGGATATACAGGGTGTTTTTTTGGGAGCTTTAGTTAAACGTTTCTGGGAAAGTAAAATAGGTAGGTTTTTGAAAATTTGAACTTAGGAGTTACTCTGAAGGCCGAATCGATGTAAAATATTTTCAAAATGGCCGCACTTCCGGAAACACCGGAAGTAGATAGTAACTTCGTTATTTTAAATGGCAACCCCTATTTTTTATTGCATTTTTGGATTCTAAGTGAAATTTCAACTCTTTTGATACCCATATGTCGATATCTGCCACTTATGGTTTTTAAGTTATTTTGATTTTAAGAAAAAAAATGGCGGATGCAGACGGTACTTTGATAATTGATTACTTGAAAACGGTTGTAGTCAAGGCAACCCATTTTTATCAGTATATAGAGAATGAATGGGGTTTTCTTTTAATGTACTTAAAAAAAAGTTAAGTTGCGTACAACCGCACCTATGGAGATCCAAATTTAAGAAACTTTAAAGTCTATAAACTCAGTTTTTTAAAATGGAATGACCCTGTTCTTACTATTGCATGAGATAGAGAATCGAAATTGGCATATTTTGATATTACATGTTCCTATAGCTATCTTTAACAGTTTCTGACTTATTCCCATTTTATTGAATTGACACTATTTTTTTCGAATTTTCTTTTTAGTAGTCGGCCATGATTTTAAAACAATCGAATTTTAAACAAATCTAGTGACACTAATCCGTCACCTACTGTTATAGGTGCACATAGGTTTTTCAAAAATCGAAAAATGACTCGGAGTGGTTTCATCTATTTTGGAATTTAATAAATTGTTATTTATGGTAAAATGGACAGAATCGCGACACGTGGTTGCCGTACATTCATTCGAACCACTGGAACGAAATTGTATCAATTTTGGAAATGTTGTACCCCCAAATGCACTACAAACCGTTGAAGCACAAGTGATACAAAGCTCTACAACAGAATATTTAAGAGAATGAATTGAATTGCAAATGCAAGATTAACAAAATAAATTCAATGCAAAATATAAAAAACTTCGTTGAAACATTTTTGGTATGGAATTGTTGCTAGAACAGATATCGCATTACCTCTCTTAATTTCCAGACTTATACGTTGTTTAAGAAATTCAGTTGAACGACTGTCTAGATTTTTCAAAAATTTTCCATCCTATATCCTTAACAAAAAACTTATTTATTAATGAATTAATTAGGCTACAATAAATGATATTAACGAATCCATTCCTTGATTTGTTTAAAATTCGATTGTTCTAAAATCATGGCCAACTACTAAAAAGAAAATGCGAAAAAAATCGCATCAATTCCTAGATCAATTCAATGAAATGGGAATAAATCAGAAACTGTTAAAGATAGCTATAGGAACATGTAATATCAAAATATGCCAATTTCGATTCTCTATCTCATGCAATAATAAGAACAGGGTCATTCCATTTAAAAAAACTGAGTTTATAAACTTTAAAGTTTCTTAAATTTGGATCTCCATAGGTGCGGTTGTACGCAACTTAACTTTTTTTTAAGTGCACCAAAAGAAAGCCCTATTCATTCTTTATGCACTGATAAAAATGGGTTGCCATGACTACAACCGTTTTCAAGTAATCAATTATCAAGGTACCATCTGCATCCGCAATTTTTTTTCTTAAAGTCAAAATAACTTAAAAACCATAAATCGCAGATATCGACATATGGGTATCAGAAGAATTGAAATTTCACGTAGAATCCAAAAATGCAATAAAAAATGCGGGTTGGCATTTAAAATAACGAAGTTACTATCTACTTCCGGTGTTTCCGGAAGTGCGGCCATTTTGAAAATATTTTACATCGATTCGGCCTTCAGAGTAACTCCTAAGTTCAACTTTTCAAAAACCTACCTATTTTACTTTCCCAGAACCGTTTAACTAAAGCTCCCAAAAAAACACCCTGTATGCTAGTGTGCTCTTTATCTAATGACGTGTAAATGTATCAACATGTCTGCACAACAACATAAATGATATTATTATGATTATTAAAAAAATAGTATATTAAAGGCTCTTTTCAATAATATAACACTAAAAAGTTAATTTGATTTAAAAAAATTAAAACAAAATTTAAAAAATGAAATTTTTGTATTTTCTTAAATTATTTGAACCTTTTTTTAATTTTTTATTTGAATCTTTTTCTTACTATCATCACTGATGTGTTCTATTTTTGAAAAGAGAATTTAATATGTTCTCATTACAGATGAAAATATACAGGGTATTCCATTAAAAAAAATTAAGTTAGCTCTGATAACTTTTGACGGATCTCGGATTCAAAACAAATTTTGAATTGTTTTAATTTTGTTCAAAATCTTTTGTATCAATATTGAATGTTTTAGTGTTCAAAACAATTTTCTAATTTTTTTTGCACTTTCTTTTAATGTTCTATTTGAATCTTTTTATGTGACTTGAATCTTTGTGTGATATATTTTTAAAAAGAGATTTTATCCTTACACATTAAAATATATACAGCGTATTTCGTTTAAAAAAATTAGGTTAGCTCCGATAACTTTTTTTACCAGATCTCGTATACTTACAGATTTTGAAAACGGTAGATTATTCAACAATAATCATAAAAAAACTTTTGTAAAAAACATTTTTCTGTATCTTTTTTAACTAAGAACATATAGGGTCAGGTAAAAAACAATTATCCGACTTAACCTCATTTTTTTTAATGAAAGACCTTGTATAATTTAATCTAAAAAAATAGGATATTAAAGGCTCTTTTCAAAAATATAACACTAAAAAGTCAATTTGATTAAAAAAAATTCAAAAATTCAAAAATTGTTTTGACATTTTTTGTATTTTCAACTATGTATTTGAACCTTTTTTTAAAATTTTCCTTAGTATTATCACTGATGTGTTCTATTTTTGAAAGAGAATTTAATATGCTATCATTATAGATTAAAATATACAGGGTAATCCATTAAAAAAAATTAGGTTAGCTCTGATAACTTTTTTTTGACAGATCTCGTATTCAAACCAATTGTTGAATTGTTTTAATTTTGTTCAAAATCTTTTGAATCAATATTGAATATTTTAGTGTTCAAAACAATTTTTTAATTTTTTTGCACCTTTTTTTAATGTTTTATTTGAATCTTTTTTAAGTGACTTGAATCTTTTGAATATCATCCTTGGTGTGTTATATTTATAAAAGAGAATGTATCTTTATACATTAAAATATACAGGGTATTTCGTTTAAAAAAATTAGGTTGGCTCTTTTTTTACCAGATCCTGTATACTCGCCTGTATACTTATTTTGAAAACGGCAGATTATTCAATAATAATTATAAATGAACTTTTGTGTAAAACATTTTTCTGTATCTTTTTTAACAAGTTATCCGACTTGATTTTTGTAATAAAAGACCTTGTATAATTTAAACAAAAAAATAGCTTTTTAAAGGCTCTTTTCAAAAATATTAACTAAAAAGTCAATTTGATTAAAAAAAAATTTTACATTCAAAAATTGTTTTGAAATTTTTTGTATTTTCTTAAATTATTTGAACCTTCTTATAAATTTTTTATTTGAATCTTTTTCTTAGTATCACTGATGTGTTCTATTTATGAAAAGAGAAATTAATATGCTATCATTATAGATTAAAATATACAGGGTAGTCCATTAAAAAAAATTAAGTTAGCTCTGATAATTTTTTTGCCAGATCCCATATTCAAAACAATTTTTGAATTTTTGTATTATTTGAACCTTTTTTTAATGTTTCATTTGAATCTTTTTTGAATATCATCTCTAGTGTCTTATATTTTTAGAGAATTTAATAGATTAAAATATACAGAGTGTTCGGTTTAAAAAAATTAGGTTAGCTCTAATAACCATTTTTACCAGATCCCGTACACTTATTAGGAAAACGCTGAGGAAAAAAGTGATTCCATTACCTTCAAACTGTAAGACTACTTAAGGGCTCCAAAATGCACGATAGATTCAGGGGCCAAAACATAAGCGAAGTAAAAATTGTTTATGACAACTGTAAAATAGTTAATGAGTAACCTACAGACAAAGAAATGGTTGGAAGAGTACATATGAGTGCAGAGAGCGGATGTACAGGGGTGTCTAGGCGATATTCGAAAAAAAGGATTCAATTTAGAACTTTTTTATCGCCATTCTACAGGGTGTTTTAAAACTAATGGTCAATTTTAAACCTTCAAACCCTAAAACGTTGATTTTTTCAAATTAAACATGTTTTACTTTTTTGCATATTCAAATAGGAACATTGGAATTTGAACACCCGCCTGTACAGTATATCTTGTCCACAATCATGAGAAAAATGGAAAATTTTTACGTCTTGCCCATTGAGACAATGTGTTTTGACATTTTCCCAACAAAATTAATGGGAAGCTTTTGCACCAGTTTTTCACTACTAACGTAACCTAAAAGAGAGCAATAACAAGCGTAAGATTGCTTGCACACCACACAACATTTGAATCAATGGTTTGATATTCTGGGAGAAGTTGTTATGGAGATATCAATTAAAATCCCAGGACATTCATATCATCGATGCATATTGCCTATATTGTCTACATTAAGTAAAGTGGGAAAATGTGACAAGAATTACTTTTCAAATACTTCTACACAGTGAATAATCCATCGATATTGCTTTTTTTAAAACAAATATCCCTTTAATTGTACAGAACAGAAATTTATTTAGGGCAAATAAAAGGCTTTAGCTTTAGAGCCTCTCCTTAGAAACACTACGCAATACACACCCTAAATGTGCCCCAGATGAAAACGCGTCCGTCACACAGTAAGGCAGCAGAATGGGAATCTCCGGCAGACACCTGCACGACTTTGTCAGGCAGCTCAACTTCGTCAGCAGTAAACTCGGAATCCTCCTTGTCAGCCGTAATTCGACCTAAAGCACCCTCGTCATTGCAACCAAAGGTTAAAACTTTGCCAGTCTTCGTCAGACACACAGTGTGCATTCCGCCGGCGCACACGTCGACGATTTCGTGCTCCATGTTTACCAACGAGAACCTGCTCTTCTCCAGGATGTCACTACCCATGCCGAGCTGGCCTACATCACCTGCGCCCGTTACCAGCACCACGCCGCTCCTTTGCAACCCGACCGGTACGTCGTGCTCAATTACAACTAAAATACGACAAATGTACGAGTTGCTACCAGAGGAGAACTCACCCTTGAGTTTCTTCGGAAGCTTCACAGCGCCAGTATCGGACTCCCGCACCGAATTGGAACGTCTTCGTTTTGGCGGCATTGCTTCCACGTAAATGAAGACAGAATTTGCTAAATTGTGTACTTTTTTGTGGTACACAAATTCTGGAAAATTAGCCTTCAATGGTTGAGAAAATGGTGAAAAACTCCGGCGGGAATAATCCCCACCACATGAGACCAACGGCCGATTCGGGTTTTTTAGGTTAGATTTCATTTGCAATGTTGCCGATTGTTACTTTAATACAAGGTGATACAATAAAATTGGACTCGAATGATCACAAAATCTTCTGCACCTTAAAACAAATCAGTCCAAGTTTCGGCACTAGTATATACCTTCGCCACCGGAAAGTACGCATTTCTTATTTCCTCTCCCAAGGGAAATTGACCACCGCAACTTTTACTCGTTCATCACTTGGTTCTTGCTCGCCCCAAGAATATTTCAGGCCTGTAGTAACTGCATCCAGAAGACTTGTCCTTGAAATAATTGAAATGTACCCATGACCAAAGATTACTTTCATCTCTGTGGTCCCCAGCTAAAGTGACTTCCGCAATTTTTTCGAGTCCATAATTTTCACCCCAGCCGAAAGACTTCCGGATATTGTTTACTAAAAAAAACTGTTCACCACAACCCCATCAACAAGCATGGGACTTCTAAAATAACTGATGTGTGCCCAGTTCCAGAGATTTCTTTCATTTCTGTAGCTTCATCAGGTAAAATCACATTCAGAATTTTCGCCTTCGTTAGGAGGTTGGCCCCCCTGGAACCAGCTCACTACCAGGGTCTTACTCCTCCAAAGAAATAATTACTTTCTATAGAGAATTCGGTTCAGAAGACTGGTGCTTAAAAAACTGACGCACGCACCCAACTTCAGAGAATCCATTTCTGTGATAAAGGGAAAAGAATACCCGATGGAAATGATAGATGGAGGAAAAGGGGAGAAATGGATGTTGGAAAGTTGTTCTACTGTAAAAAGTTTTTCTTTCCCCAAGATGATGATTGATTAGAAGGTTATGTACATATTTAGAAGACAAAACAAAAAAAAAGTTGAACATTACTTATAATATCAATAAATACGCATAAAAAACAGATAATCAAACAATTAGCAGTATAAAAGTACTCTTGGCTAAAATGATTCAACAATACATAAACTCTAACATTAGAAACAAAGAATCTCGACATCATTGTTCGACAGTTACCGGCTTAATGTCGTCCAAGATTTTTCTTTCCTCCAAATAATCCTTCTCATTCCCACTCGCCTCTTGAAGAAACGAAGTATCTTCATCGAACGAAGATGAATCTAAAACAACATCAGTTGGCATTCTCGCCCTATCGAAACTCACCATCCTCGACGTTTCCCTTGAAGTATTCGAGTCGGCGATTCGCCGCGATGCCGCTCTCGTAGTTCCTATAATCGTCGGAGAGTATAAGCTGGTACCATGTGATGATACAGACGATGGCAATAAAAAATAGGTTCGAAGTGATACCTAAAAGGGATCTTCACAATTATAAGAGCGCAAAACGGACGACGACCCACCTATTGTCGCGGAAACGAGCGGCCAATGGAACATAAAGTAGCGCAATCCTGAGAATTGGGCGTTAATGAAAAATTTCGCCGAGTACAACTGAATGTACTTCGTCTGTATTTCAAGATAAACGTCCGTCACTGGAGCGGTCTGAAATCAGTTAAATGTACGCGAGTGATTGAAGTTGCGAGGGGTGATTCACACTCGGAAATGCCTACATTAAGTGAGAAAGAGAAATGTAAGAAGTTGGAAAGAGAGATAGAAAGGGCGAAGGAAGATGTGAGACATCCAAGAACACAAGGAGAAAAATTGAACTCAAATAAGTGGAATACAATTAAATTTAGTAGTCTGCGCATGCGCACATTTAATTTTTACTATATGCGATATGTTTGTCTACTAGAAACGTCTATAGTAAAAATTAAAAATAAAATCTAGAAACAAGCAAGTCGACATTGCGCACATTTGATATGTTTTTCTTTACTGGGAGCATCTATGGTTAAAATTTCAAAGAAATATGTCTTTAATTAAGAAAGTTAGCATTGCGCATGCGCAAATCCAACTTTTACAATTTGCAATTTAATACCTTTATCCTGGCCTTTATCTGTAGTAACTTAGACAAACGTTCAGCAGTATGCGCATGCGCATATCATTTGATTTTAATATAAGATACTTTCCCTTTACTAGAAGCAAAAAAATATCTATAAATAAGAAAATTGACATTGCGCATGCGTGTAGCAATCAAGATTTTTGGCTCAGGTGCCAAAGCTACCGAATACAAAAACAACGAACCAAACATATTGAAAACTGTAGGAGTAGTTCAGCAGGCCCACAACATGTATCATCGAACCTGAAGTGAACACTCCTATAGTCCGAAAATTTTGAGAAATGATCAAAAACTATGATATTTTAAGAAATCCTGGGAAGTGTACACATTTTCAGAACATGAAACCCCTCAGGAACTCGTTTGACTACCTCTTTATCCTCATATTCCGCGAACAGCTCAACATATACCTTCTGCTTCTCCTCGACGGTGCCCAGTATAAAAAGCGGTATAAACACAAGCTTGTACAAGGTGTCGATCACGACGCTACGATAGTGCAGCATCGCCGAACGACACGAGCTGGTGACCAGCGACCCGTCCTGCCCGCGAAAGTCGGCGCACACCATAAACATGCCGAGCTCGCGATTCGTACGTGACTCCGGCATTTCCAGTTCGAGATGGATCTTGTACGGTTGGCCGTACATGAGCAGTTGCTGACGTTTCGTCAGTTGTATGTGCGCCGATGGGAAACTGCATATGCCCTTGGCGTCCTGACACGCCCTACAAACCACTTTGACTATCTCCAAAGTTCAATCGCTACTCACTTAAATTGGAGGAACACAGGCCGTTCGTGCGAAATCGTCGGCACGTACACGTAGTAAAAAGCCATGTACATAAAAATCGACAGCCATACCAAGACGGAGGTCGCGGCCGCAACGATTGTCCCTCTCAAAAAGAGCTCTCGCACGCTGTCGATGCCCTTCCTCGTCCGTAGCCTGTACAGTTGTACGGTCTCATAGACGAACTTTATGAGGGGTCCGCTCACTTTCGTCTTGTAGAATTGCTTTGGGTGTCTTACAATGAACCAGAAGGTGGACAGGAATCTTCGAACGACCATCGTTATCTGCCTTTTAATTACATTTTTATCTATAAAATAAAGGTCGATATTCAAATCAGCGCAACTTAACCTAAAAGTTGTTTACAAATGTATTAAAGTGGCTGTCTCTCTTTCAGATTTACAGTGTGGATATCTATCTGTCTCTGTTGACGTTTGTAAAGTTTATCAACCTGATAAAGTACAGGGGCGGGCTTAAGAAAGGATGTGGTAACTTTGCTGTTTGTTTTTATCCGGACTGTGGTTCAGGTGTACAGGGTGGTTCAAATTTGGGGCTCACCATTGGAATCTCGGATTTCCGTAACGCAGAGAGATACGGTGTAGGTTAAAAGTTAAAAGTTGCTCCTTTTTGTGATTAAAAAACGTATTTGAAAAACTGAGATATCACCTAAAAACTGAAAAAGTCAATTTTCGTTTACATTTTTCCTAGCTTAAACTTAAACGGTCGGAAATGGACGGTTCTGTTAGCAGACTACTACTTCATGTTTCTTATGGATTCCATATGGGATTTTTACGGAATGAGATAGACAAGAAAAAAATGACCTGCCATACACTCTATCCGTTTAGATAAATAGACAAGAAAAATTTCAAAATCAATAATGTTTTTCATTCATTTCTTAACAAAACCGATTCAACACGGGTATGAGGGCGATACACTTCTTTTTTTTGTTCTCTATCTTATTCTGTAAGAAATACAAAATGGCGGCCATAAGAAATAAGAAAGGGTTATAAAAATTATGTCCCAGAAAATGTGCTAATGGGTACCGTCCATTTCCGAGCGTTTAAGCTCGGGAAAATGAAAACGAAATTTGACATTTTCAGTAAATTAAAAAAACAACTATAAAATCTTCGAGAAAATTCCATTTCAATTTTCAGTAGGTTTTAAAGATTGTATGTATAGATTCTGAAACATTCTAAATTGATTCACAGAGTATTCACAAAGAAGATCTTAAGAGAACATTTAAAAAAACCAAGAAACATCCTAAGTAGGAATTTATCAAGACTATTGGGTTTTAAGGTGTAGGAGGATCTACAAATTTTGGAGGTTTTAAGGAACTTAATCCCAAGAATATTCAAGAAATAACTTTGTAGTGTACCCCAGGTTCTACACTAACTTCTCACTACATCAAGAACACGGAAATAAAGTCAATCCGGCAACGTTTAAAAATGGCCACCCGATTGACTATTTCCTCCAAAACTAAACAAGATCCCGCCTAAATTTGAAAAGTGGCATGTGATGATAAAACATCTAGGGCCCCCTTACGTTAGTTGTAGACAACTCTTTGACCTGAAGCACAGTAACGATCGCAATTATTAAGATTGTGAAAGCTCGGAAATTTAAGTCGAAATAAATTACATTGCAAAAATAAATTTTGAAAATGGTAGTTCGCTGAATAAAAATAGAAATAGGCAGGGAAAAAAAAGAACTTACCGATAAAAAAACCAGCTGTCAAATTAATAACAAATTGTGTTGTAAAATTGATTGTTTTTTTTTTAAATAATAATAATCTTTCTTTATTATTTATTATTATTAAGGGTTAGGCGAAGCCAATTAAGGCCAATTTAACCCCCCTCTACATATTAATATGATACACATTCAGTGTTTGTAATGATGTGAATGCGTAATAAAATTATAACATCACAAAAAATAGCAGGTAAACTTCATGAGGTAACATTTAGGTTAAAAATAAGTTTTGGGAATTATGGGTCAGGTAAGCAGGTACCAATATTCTAAGAAAGGGTGAAATACACAGGATGTGACTCATCTCTGGTGCAATAAAGTCCTTTTGTTAAAAGCAACATGGAAAATTACATGGCCTTGTAGGCAAATTTAACTAAAAACACGATATGCGGAAATTACTGAATCGCCACTCATTTATCGCACATAGATTCTAAACTGAAGAGCTTTGATTAGCGTAATCCCGCTCCTGAAAGATGGGTAACCCGCCCCTGGTTTCGGGGTTTCGAGCCTACAGAATGTCGAAGACAATCACGGAATTAGGTGTCGTAACTCAATTTTGACTTTTTTTTCAACCCCCCGGGACTGCTTCATTCACGAGAAAATTGTTAGTAACAAACAACAAGTCAGTACATACATCAAACGAATCGGTAATTTCCACATATTAAAATAAAATGAAAACTTATATGAATGCAACTTCAGAAACAAGACCAAGTAATCAACATCGATAAATATAAATTAAGCAAGTATTACACGAAAAACGTAAACAATTACAAACAAAAGGATAACGGTATTAAACATGTCATTCTGCATTGCGGGTAAACCAAGTAAATTAAAAAAACACAAAATATAAACAAACATTTATGGAGCGACGCGTTCACGACCGCCATTCAAGACAAGATGCCCAACGTAACCCACATTCCTGCTTTTTAGATGGCGCAAGCAGCTTTTCCCCACCTAGAAATTGCATGGGTGCCAACTCTCAAAAATGTATGTATCGTCGTAAGTTGTATATGTATATACAGGGTGGAACCTCTCAACTTCATGAATGTTGAATGAAGATCTTAATGGTTCTTGATGACCTTTAGACTCATCTCAAACCTTATTCGATTTTTTAAATTATTATTGGAATCTTCTTAGAAACCCTCTGTAATCTTCGAGTAGTTTTAGAACCTCTAATGAACCTTCCGGAGTCTTTCTTATGATTTTAGAATCTTATTAGAAGCCTATTATGATTTTTAGTATAAAAGAAACCTTTACAACCTTTTAACCCTTACAATCCACAGCTTTTCTTAGAATTCTCTACGATCAGGCCATAGAATTTTCTTAGAATCGCCTAAGCATCTAAGAGTACTCTGAAGGAATTTCAACATTTTAAGAAAATTGTGAGACAATCCCAAGAGGTATTAAAAAAATGTTTTAATGAAGGTTTGCAGGAGAAAATCATTGGCGGTATTGGCTCGTCAAGGAATAATTGAACCATCCAACAGCTCTGTGAAGAAGAAAGATGGCTACGCGAGGTTTTGCGTTGATTATTTGAAGACAAGTGAACAACGGACTAAAACAAGTATAAACTATGCACAACTCTTGTGCAGAGTACCATCCTCCGACAATTGATAATTGATCAAGTCATATTGATGTGTACAAAGGCAAATAACTTATGGTATAAATAATTATAAGAGACTTAGCATTGACCAGTCCGCGCATATCCACCTGATGTTTACAATATGCGATATGTTTGCAAGTAAGAAAGATGATATTGCGCAGTCTACGCATGCGCACATTATTAAATGCACTAATAACATTCGTTAAGAAGTCCAACATTTGGAAAGTCCCAAGAACTTCACGGATTTCAAGAAAATCAAAAAATGCTAGGGAAAGAACCTAACCTAAATCTAGAGCCTTACGGTAATTATTAGATGTAAGAGCTTTAAAAGAAATAATATCGTCAAGAAGTTTCAAGAACTTCAAGGGAATCACGAAGGTACAGTTTTTAAAGCTTCAAGAATATAATACATACAAGGATTGAAGAATCTTCGCCAACTTCAATGGTATTAAGGGATTTAATAGTTTCAAGAGGTATCGTCAAAAAAGCAATAAAATTGTTAAAAGATTCAAGAGCTTAATAAATGCTCCAAACAAAATTTTAGTAATCTTCTTGTGTTTCGAAGTGCTTTCCCATTATACCTGTTAGTAGTCCGGTTTTTGGTCTTCAAATCAAACAGTTTTGCTTAAAAAAAGGCCTACCCATACACGTTTCCTTTCTTCCTTCCCTACTCTTCTCTTTCTGTTTATTTTACTTACATTTTCCACCATAGCCACATTTCAATGCTTTGTAAGTAGGTACGTTGGTCAATAGGTGACAACCCTCCAAACTATGGCCTTAGCAGACCTTTTGCGCAATTCAACCGGTATTTTTATCTTTTCACCTTTCCCAATGCTGCCTTTCTTTGATACATTCGACATTCGACATTCTCTGTACAACTTTTGTTTCATTTTTCACCATCATTGGTTTTCCTCGTGGTAGTTTCCGTATCCGATATATCAAGTCATTTATTCTCTTCACGACTCTAGGTATATGGTTTCCAACTTCGGGGATAGCCCGCGCCTCCTCTGGGGACGATCAACCAAACCAGATCTCCAGGTTCATAACCACCAGCTTGACTTGGTCAAAGTGTAGTTCCAGGGGTACAATACACGTTTTCCAGGATACACCTCTCAAGACCAGTTCCATTAATCTCTCAGACGTCGCGGGGGCGTTTCGCAAACCAAAAGGCATGACCGTAAAATATTCTCTTCCATTGATTGCCTGATCCTATATAAACATACTGTAACGTGATTTATAAATTCAGGTTCGATTTATGTCAATATTTATTAAACAGAACTAAAACACTATAAAATCCGTACAATTTATATCGATTATTTATATCACACACTTCGAAATTTATATCAGCTTTTCGCGCTCTATGTTTCGTCCGTACTCGATCTCGTTCGATAGTAGACTCCCGCGATGTTCGGTCCGCAACCATTTATACACGCAAGCAATGTAAGTCTAGTACATTCTCGAATAATCGCGCGCGTAGAAAATTCCAGAGCGCCAAAGGCGACGTCATGTCTGGAGCATTTCCGTTACACTGCCCCCTTCTTAATTCTGGACGTCTCGTTCAGAAACTGCGTTAGTATTACTTTTTAATGCCTCGTGTCGGAATCTGCAGTCAGAGCCTGCTCGACAAACACCTTTCTTGAAAAAGTAACAGTCCACAGTTTTGCGGAGGGTCGTCCCCTGTGGGTTGAAGCAGCATACTGTAATTCGAACGCTAGTGTTTCTAAAAATCACTTCGATCATGGTTCGCACTATTTTCCAGTCCAACCCATCTAAACCACATCCAATCTTCGGGATCGCCAAGCTATTTATGTCATAGTATGCCATGAGTTTCTTTAAGCTTTTTAAAGCAGACCAGAGGTTTTCATAGGTGGGTTTGCCTTCTGACGTTTTCTTTGAAACCAAGTAGAACAAAGAGCGTCGACTATCTTCCAAGCGCAGTACTTTACCCACTCGTGGTCTTTGCTTTAACAGCTCGTCCATTCTTCCAAATCTTTTCCGGAATACGGAAGCTATACCTCTACCCATGCGAAGGTCTTCGGCGACACAATGGGCGATGGAAACGTTAACCGGAAGCTCAAAAATATTTTGACAAATTTCCTGAGTAACGCCAAATCGAGCTTTCTTCCGCTGGGCGTAATTTGACATAAAATCGTTAAAGTTTGGCTCGATCCCAAAGCTGCGTTCCTCTTCTCGAATACCTCTAACTTCTTCGTTGTTGTTGGATCCGGCATATCGTGCGAGTCGATTAATGTGGACAACTTTCGGTTTTCGGTGGTTCATTCTGATACGATATATCACGTCATTTATTTTCTTGATCACCTCATACGGACCTTCCCATTGTCTTTGTAGCTTGGGAGAAAGACCCCTTCGTCTCTGTGGATTGTGCAGCCATACCAGATCTCCAGCTTCAAAAGTTTCATTGGCCGAGCGGAGGTTGTATTGATTTTTCATGCGATCGCTGGCAATCTGAATATGACTTCTAGCCAAGTCGTGAATGTCGTTCATCTTCGCCTTTAGTTGGTCAACATAATTTTCACCTGCGACATATTCTTCATGGGGTTTACGCCCAAACTCGAGGTCACATGGAAGGCGTAGTTCACGACCCAACATAAGGCAGGCAGGAGTCTGACCCGTGGTCTCGTTGACGGCTGATCGATATGCCATAAGGAACAGGTGGAGGTACTGGTCCCAATTTTTCTGATGTTCTGCCACGACTTTTGATAACCCATCGTTCGATTCATTCTCTCAACCATTCCATCTGACTGAGGATGCAAAGGTGTTGTTCTTGTTTTATTGGCTCCTACCAATCGACAAACATCTTGGAACAAAGCCGATTCAAAGTTCCTTCCTTGGTCTGAATGGATTTCTATAGGAACACCAAAACGTGTAAAGAACTCCTTTACCAACACTTCTGCAACTGTTGCTGCCTCTTGGTTTGGAATAGCGTAAGCTTCAGTCCACTTTGTGAAATAATCCATAGCCACTAGGATATATTTATTTCCGCCATCTGTCTCGGGAAACGGTCCTGCGATATCGATAGCAACTCGTTCCATCGGACTACCAACGTTATACTGCCTCATGGGTGCCTTCTTCTTGGAAACTGGTCCGTTTACAGTAGCACATAACTCACATTTTTGACACCATCGACGGACATCTTCTTTACGGTTGACCCAATAGAATCGCTCACGTACCCTTTGCAACGTTTTCGTAATACCAAAGTGTCCTCCGGAAGCGCCGTCATGCAATTTTCGCAATACTTCCGACACTTTGCTTCTAGGTACTACTAATTGCAGCGTCGATTCGGTGCCATCTTCACTTTCAAGGGTCCTATACAACAGGTTGTCTTTTAGAGTCAGGCTATTCCATTGGCCCCAATAACTCTTTACTTCAGGACTAATGTCTTGCCAGTCTGGTCTTTGTCCGTGGCGCATCCAATTCAGAACAGTTTTTATACTTGGGTCGTTTTCTTGGGCCGTTTTGATCTCGCTTGGCTTCCATTCCTCACTCTCTACAGTTGTTCGTCGCAGATGGCCAATCTTGTCTTTTATTTTAGAACAATGTGTGCAGTTGTCCTTGCACGGTCTTCTTGACAAAGCGTCTGCATTATTGTGAACTTTTCCAGACGACGAAATGTTTACAGTGAAGATCGGGGCTTTGTTTCTGCAGGTCGACGATAGCCCCTTCCTGTCGACCTTTCTTAGTTTTCCGACTGCTGCAATGGTTTTTGACAGTTGCGGCGAACGTGTCCAATTTCGCCGTGGTTCACGTTTCTTTGCCAGTGACTGTATTGCTTTATTGATCTTTTCTTCCATTACTTTACTGACCTTTTCTTCCACTTCTTTACTGAGCTTTTCTTCAAAACTTTCAGAGCCACCTTCCTCTTCGATGGTTCTTACCCGGCTCTCACTGCGAGGTTCCACCATAGGTACTCGCGCACTTCCATGACTAGCTTTCTTGGCGGCTTCGAATTCTAACGCATGGGCCAAAGCTTTCTCAATTTTATCGTGCCTAGCCAGTCTCAAAGCCTGCTGGGCATCTCCATCACGAACGGCATCGATAAATGTTTGTACAGCCAGCTGATCAAGAAAGCTCTCCGGTGCCGTAGGGTATGCCAATCGAATCAGTCTAGCGATGTCCGCTTCAAGTTCCTGCAAACTTTCTCAAGGTTTCTGCATTCGGTTCTTGACTTGGGCATAGTAAACTTGCTGAAGGTGTTTATCGCCATATCGCATTTCGAGTCGCGCTACTATTTGTTGGAAGTTCTGTTGATCCTCGGGGATAGTCCGCAACACATCCAGAGCATCTCCTCTCAGAGCAAGAATCAGGGCTGTAGTTTTGTCTTGAAGAGTCCATTATTTTATTTGCCGCAGCCGCTGCTTCAAACTGTCGAACGTACGTGGTCCAAGGAATCTTACCATCAAAAGTAGGTGGCTTTACTCGGGCTTGCTGAACGTCGCCTTCTACTCTTGTATTTGTTTCTGGGTCGACCTTCTTGTAATGAGTAGACTGTGGCACCTCAAGAAGACGGTCCATCAGTAATTCATCTGGGGCACTACTAGTACGCTCTTCCGTAGTCAGTCGCAAGAATTGCTCGCGCAGCTCTTCATACTTGTGCTCAATCTCGACGAATGTTGCTTTAAATGTTTTGGAAACTTCCGTAATTCTATCTTCAACTTTTTCTTCAATTGATTTAGAGACTTCTTCGATAATCTTTCTAGAATTTTCTTCCAACTTCTCGAACTTCTCTTGAATATTTCTAGAATTTTCTTCATTAATCCTTCTAGAATTTTCTTCCAACTTCTCGAACTTCTCTTGAATATTTCTAGAATTTTCTTCATTAATCTTTCTAGAATTTTCTTCCATTTTCTCGAACTTCTCTTCAAAATTTCTAGAATTTTCTTCCAACTTCTCTTGGTTAGCTTTTTCATTTCTTGTTGCAACACCTGTTGGCCATTTTGGATTTGCTGGAGCAAATTGAGCATCGTTTCTTCCATTTTAGCGGCAGCAGATCTTGTTACAGGCATACACAAGCACAAGCACTTAATTTAATCTTACTTTTAATTAATTTAATTAATCCCACCGCTGTCACCAATGTAACGTGATTTATAAATTCAGGTTCGATTTATGTCAATATTTATTAAACAGAACTAAAACACTATAAAATCCGTACAATTTATATCGATTATTTATATCACTCACACTTCGCAATTTATATCAGATTTTCGCACTCGATGTTTACGTACTCGTTCGGTAGTAGACTGCCGCGATGTTCGGTCCGCAACCATTTATACACGCAAGCAATGTAAGTCTAGTACATTCTCGAATAATCGCGCGCGTAGAAAATTCCAGAGCGCCAAAGGCGACGTAATGTCTGGAGCATTTCCGTTACAATACTTAGTGATGACGTCATAATACACCTATAGCTACCACAGCTGACTCGTCCGCAAGCTCGTCCGCCATTTTGGAGCCCACTGACAATTAACGCTTGCCAAATCTATCACGTATTTACCAAATTATTTATTAAAAATCCTCAGATCCTTTATAGTTTTGTATTGCCGTCCGCCCGGCCGTCCGTGTGCGCTATAACTCTTTTTAAAAGTGGCCGATCGTGTTGAAATTTAGTCTGCTGGTACTAAGGACGGGCGCTATTGATTTTCAGGAAGCTGGTTCAACAGGAACCAAAGTTATAGGCCGTCGACTGAATCGGGAACAGGGAAAACAACGGGCTCAAAATAATAGAGGTCAACATATTTCATTCCCTAGGTCATGTATCAAGTTCGGACTTTCGCTGGATTATTCCCTATGACTCTTAGAAGTGTAACAATTCAATATAGCTCTTCTCTGTGGTCTAGGCCAAAAGTTTTAGAGCAAAATGTACCCAAAAATATTTCCGTACACATAAATTTGGAGTTCTGAAAGCTTTCAAACGCATTATCTTGATGGAAAGAAGTAGGTACATCACATGCACATTTGATAGCCGCGTGTGTGTCATTCAAAGATGTGAAATTTTTTTCTGAGGCCACATGGATTTTGGTCAAAACATGTCAAAATCGTTATTCTTGCACCGAAGTCGTTGGGAAAAAGACCAAGACCATTATCTCAATGCCTAGTACATGAATTTGATGCATTTTTGGCGGCCACATGGATTTTGATCAAAACAAGTCAAAATCGTTATTCTTGCACTGAAGTCGTTGGGGAAAAGACAAAGAGCATTATCTCAATGCCCATGGCATGAATTTGATGCATCGTATTGTAAAATAAATGGGCGTTAAAGAACTGACGGTAATATACTGAGGATCCTTCAATGTTTCGTTGTATTGGTTTAGCACTTCCGTCTTTTGCCTGTTACTGGTTTGGCTGTATGTATATTACCGTTGAGTGAAAAATCGTTTTTCAATGATAGGTATTGCGCACCTCCTGATAACATCGTGATATAGCAAGATATGGAGAAATTAGGAAACTAAAAATATCGACAAAATAAAGTACCTACTTGTTATGGAGCCTAAAGTCGTCCCTATTACGGTAATCCTAATCAGTAGTAATCAGTACAAGAAATTGCCTAAAGCTGTATCTAATCTATTGAACCTCTTGGCAGGTAGGTATAAATGTATGCGTACACTGCCACATAACGATTATGGTCATCATGTACTTTAAAATTTTATTGGTTTCTATTGCCCTCCTGTTTGCCGCTGTTGCGTCGGGTATGTTACGACACGTTTATTTATTATTGTATCCACGAACGCAGTCTCTAAATTGATTTAACAATTAACATTATTTTTATTATTATTTTTTGTAATTCTGACTAAACCATGGTTCAATTATTGTTTGGCCACATCCTGTTAATCAAAGGTTAATATTCACCAATCAAAAGCTACCGAAAAGGTAAAGAGGCACAACAAAATGAAGACACTTCCAACTTTGTTGCTTGCCACAGTAGTGAAGTGTCTGGCGAGTGTTCTTCTCAATCCCAAAGGATGGAGAGAAGTGCCTAAAGTGATCACTTAGCGTTACTGACAGGTCTACTACTTTTAGGCACAGGGAGCAATCTTAGGGAAAACAGTGAGAAATTGGAAGGCGACATGGTTTTTTTAAGAAAGAGAAATGGGGTCGTTCGCAAGGTTTTCCGATGGCCGAATGGCCAAATCTGTTACACCATTTCTCCATCATACAGTGAGTGGGATAGTTTTTATCATGATTCCTTACAAAAATCGTTTTAGATCAATCCCAAGCTGATATTATCAGAAGTACCATCGCAAGTGGGTTCAGTGGTACCTGTGCTCAGTGGAAGGAGTGTCACACGTGCTGCAACGGAGACTACATCAATATAACAGTAAGCATATTGTTCTAAAAGCTCATGCTAAATTTCAGTTACAGTACAGCAACGATCATGGCTGCGAATCGGCCGTTGGGAGATGGGGGGGTCAACAAATTTTAAACTTTCAGTCGTCGTGCTTTGATAGGGGCACGATGTTGCACGAAATGCTACACGCTGTCGGCTTTCGGCATCAACATAACAGTCCAGATCGAGACGACTACATCACGATAAACCGAGAGAATTTGAAAGATGGTAAATGAGTCAAATGCGTGAAGCCAAGCGTTTAAAAGTGATCGTAAATTGCAGGTTCCACAACCGTCCTCAAAAAATACACTTCAAGCGAAGTGACCAATTTTGGCCTACCTTACGATTATTGTAGCGTATCGCATTACAGTATGTTTGCCTCCTCGAAAAACGGCAAGCCGACTATTGTTCCAAAATTTGTAGGTATTCAGTCAGTATAGACGTTTAATGATTTTGACTTTCAGCCAACCACGTGTGAATTGGGAACTGCTACAGATTTAAGCCCAATAGACAAAAAAAAGATTAATCTAATGTACCCTTGTGGATTATAATTGAATAATCAGAACGAGTGTAGCAACACTATTAGCAAACGAACCAGGATAGTACTATTTCTTTACTAATTAGGGCTTGTCTTTGTAAATCTTTTTTTTGTAAGCAAAGTTTGGAATAAATATTATCTATTTTTATTTGATTTTTCTTTGGTCTCTATTTTTAAGTGAACCTATGTTTTTCTTTGTTTTTTTTTAGTTACCCGGAAGTGAGGTTCTACGGGCATCATTGGAACTAGAGCCGCGAGTTTGCAGTAAAAGTTACTTTCAAGTGGATATTTGGTAATTTGCAGGAGTAACTGCGACTTCTCGGTACCACTGTTAAGTTCCTAACTTATTTCAATGTTACTAGAAACTCGAATGTAAATTCCTGCAGTGAGCGTTGTGTTCCTGCTACCTAAAAACATTTAATTTAAAGTAATGTATGCAATAAAGTCGTTAATTTGGTCGGTTCTACGTAAAAACCACTTGGTAGAAGTAACCATCTCACTAATCGCGGTTTTTGAGATTATCAATGCTGCTTGGGAACTCACACCCGCTTACGTGTCCGTAAATGCTGTTAAACGTGTACGACAGCTCTTAGAAAATCCTTAAACGCGTCCTATATAGGACCTTTGGATTCCCCTAAACGCTATTAGTGTGGCGAAGTATTAACTGCATAAACCGGTAAATTTGTGCCGACAAAATTGTGCGAAGTTATAGCAAACTAATCGAAATAACTACCAAACTGTATATTTTGCCGGCAAGCCTTTTACGGCACAAACGTGGTTTATGTAATGTGTGCCGGCAATATTCTGCTAACCTGACGGAACCATCAGATTGAGGACAATGGAAACGCAAACTGTCACCGCCCCAGTAACCTCTTTGAAGAATCCTACCCTCAAGGCACTACTTGCATTTTTATCCTGCAAGTGCAAGACCAATTGCGGTAACGCCTGCGGATGCAGATAAGCAGGGTTAAAATGTCCCATGATTTGCGGATAAATCCTGGAATGAGATGCCGTTGATATTGGATAATTGGATCATAAATTTCGGTTGTTGAACCTTCTGGTCAGTAAAAAATGTTGGTAAGGAAACGAGAATAAACTCGATTTCGAAATTTGGATTTAATGTGTGGGAAATCCCCTTTTCTCAAACTTTTCACCTTGATTAATTAGCAGCACAAGATTGAAAACAGTTATTATATGATTTTGCTAACAGTTTTCTTTATCGCAGTTTCACTTTACGCGGGATATTAAGGTAGCTTTCTTTATAATTTGTAGCACTGCGCAGAGCGATAAATACCGACAGTTTCTTTTTCTGAGTTTTAATTTTCTACGCGTGATGTGAAGATATTCCTTGAGGTGGCTTTATATGACGTTAAACTTTAATGAAATGGCGCTTTTCTTGCAAACTAAAGGGCGCAAAAAAAGCGTGTAACCTTTACTAAGGGCGGCGAAAAGTAAACCGCAATCTTCCACAAATATCCAAAATTGAAACTTGAAATTTGTCGGGCAATTTCTCCACAGATGCAAAATGCGGAATTCCAGAAAATTACTGGATAGAACGGACACTAATTGTCGCTTTGATTTGGATTAAATTTTTCTTTGAAGCTCGTTTTTTCCGAACGCCAAATGGAAATTACTTAAGCTCTAAAGACCGCCTTAAGAAAATGCCGTACTGACGAAACGCTAAGCTCTCGTATTGACTTTTGGGATGCCAAAACGAGACTCTCTCTGGTTGGTCACTCCAAAAACTGAATGAAACGCGAATCTCTCCTTTCGTGCAAAGCTCATCTCCTCTTTCCATACTAAGTTGACTTAAAACACGTATTTCATGGTGGAAAGTAATGGCGGCGATTTCTCGTTAATTTTCATTTCTAAAGTGGTCTACAAAAATCGCTGATGTAACAGAAATTTGCGTATAGAAGCTGATGCAAATCGCAATTTCAGAAATGAAACATTGTATTACCCCTTTTTACCAAGTAAAACGATACAGAATTTCATCAATGGGGTGCCATGACAACAAAGGCCTTATTTCTAGACCTGACAGAGATGACATAATGCTCTTCGGAATACAAACGACAAAATAAAAACTTAAATGTGACATAATGAATATATGTGTACCAAAATACGTCCTGAAACCTTCATTTTCATGCCTACTTTCCTTCAGTAAATTTAAATTTCCAGGACAGAGGCAGAGCAGACTACGTTTCCTGCCGCTTGTCACTTTACTGGCCGCATTTGTGACATTTCCAAATGTCTATAATGACTCATATCATTGCTGACAGACTGACAAGGAACGGTTCTATATAAAAATTGAAATTTTATATTAAAATACGATTTCGGGTAAAATTTAATACAAAATTCGTCAGGAAAATGATACATTACTGGCGAGGAAATATTGAAGTGCGAGGCCTCTTTGAGGCCGAGTACTTTATTTTCCGAGTTTCCGAGTTTTATTTTAATTTTATTTTATTATCCCTCTCTTGTTTTGGGCCCTCAACAGGCATGCGCCCAATTACAGAGTGACCCGCATAATGCTATTTAGAGGTGCCTCTGCAGAAGGTCTTAAGATGGTCTATACTACTCCGGTATTTACCTTACGAATTAGGAAAACTGCAGGAAAACCTAATTCGGAGTAGCCGGTAGAATGCTCGGAACTGGTCTAAGGTAATTTCCATCTCCGCCACAGATGAAAAATTCACCTCAACCCAGGTTCGAACACCCGACCTCCGGATTTATAACCCAATGCTTTACCACTGAGCCATAAATCCGATTTTATGTAAATAAATATTGTTTGATTGTGATTGAAACCTTGACCGTCTTTAAACTTGAATCCTTCCGCATATTTCAATGGAATGGAACGTAAAAACACCCCCTCGTTACAGGTCCACACAGCAAAACTATTATAGTTTGTAACAAAAAAGTAAATATTATAGTTGTACATATATGATTTTATGTACATTTTTTCGTTTTTACACAAACAATTATACATTTTTTAAAGTTAACACTTGTATTAGTGTTACAAAAATCACATTTCATTTGTATAACTATAGAACCGCACTGGGGTCAGACTTGACCTCACCTGGTAGTAACGTTTTAAAAAGTACCGGGTATTAGGAAGCTTAAGTACTAACAGTAGATACGTAACTCCGATTTCGTCACTAATTTTAAGTGCTTTATTTTCCAAATCTCATCTATCAATAAATTTGTACTTACCAAATTATTTATCTTAAGATGCGAGCGATTTGCGTCTTTATCTTGTTTGGCTCTATTGTATTCGCTCTTCCTGATATATATATATTATATATATCGACCAAACAAAGTACTTGTTATGGGGCAACAAGTCGTCAGTAGATAGGTGCCTAATCAGTAAGAAATTACGTAAAGCTATACCTAATCTTTTGAACCTCTTGACAGGTAGGTATAAATAATGCGTACACTGCCACATACCGATAAACCGTTGTAATAGTTTTGAAGACATGTATTTTAAAACTGTATTGGTTTCTTCTGTTCTCCTATTTGCAGGTGTTGCGTCAGGTATGTAACGACTGATTTATTTATGGTTGTATGCACGGACGCGGTCTCGAAATTGGTGTAATGTCTTCATTTACGAACGTAAATGTGGTCACTTTAGCGCTGTCAGTGTATAAGCATAAGAAGTAGACATATATTGTATTGTCTACTTTTAAAAGACCAAATCTCTTCAGAAGGGCGCCTGATTTTATGCAGCCAAAATAACTTCTTAAAACTTAATAATAATCTGACTGTCATACTAATTAATTTGAATATTGTTACCTTGACTTCACAGAAAATAGATCTCATACGCTCCTGTTACTGGCACTATACCAATTTCCGTAAAAAAAATTGGAGGGTCATTTTTTACCCCAATGCAATACCTCCCTTACTAACGTGCGGGCGGTTAAAAAATGCTAGGAATCCTAAGAACCCAAGCATCATTTGCAAGCTTTCATGAATCATAAAATTTTCTTCTCTCCAAGAATTTCAGTGACCGCTGCAGCATTTTAGTGATCTTTAAATGACTTCTAGGGGTTTTTAAATATCCTGTAGGGGATTTAAGGGGGTTTTATCATAATATCCGAATGCTGTTCCTCGAACATGAATTTAATTACCAACTCTAATTTTCGTTGCTTGCCACCGGACTGAAATGTCTGGCGAAAGTTCCTCTCGAACCCAGCATTGAGAGACATCCCTAAATCGACCATTTATCTGTACGAACACGTCTACTTTTAGGTATAATATGTGCAGGCGATCCTCAGGAGGACAGTGGGAAATCTGAAGACGATATGTTTTTTTTAAGAAAGAGGAATGGAGTAATTAACCCCAGATATCGATGGCGGAATGGCCAAATCTGCTACACCATTTCTCCAGCATTCAGTGAGTGGGATAATTTTTATCGTGATGTTTCACAGAAATCATTTTAGACCAAACTCAAGTTGAACTGATCAAAAGTACAGTCGCAACTGGATTCACTGGTACGTGTATTAAGTGGGTTGAGTGCCAGTCGTGCTGCAATGGAGACTACGTCTATATAACAGTAAGCATATCGTTCTAAAGACTATTGCTAAATTTCAGTTCTAAATAGAATGATCATAAAGGCTGCTCCTCCTCGAGTACGGGGAGAGCTGGGGTGGGCCGACAACTTTTAAATCTCGCTAAGGAATGCCTTTATAAGGGCACCATGTTGCATGAGATGCTTCACGTTGTTGGTTTTAAGCATCAACACAGCAGTCCAGAACGGGACGACTACGTCACAATAAAAATCGAAAATGTGATGGATGGTAAAGAAGTCGAAATTGCGTGAAGCCAAGCGCTTAAAATTGATTGTAAATTGCAGGTTTCGAAATCCAATTTGGTAAATACACTCCCGACTATTTGTCGAGTTTTGGCCAACCTTACGATTATTGTAGCATAATGCATTACCACGAGACTGCGTTTTCGAAAAACGGCAAGCCGACCATTGTTCCAAAATTGGTAAGTATTCAGTTAGTATACGCCTGTATTTGATTTTGATTTTCAGCCAACAACGTGCAAATTGGGTGCTGCTAGTGAACTAAGCCCGATAGATAAACTTAAAGTTAATGCCATGTACAAGTGTGGACTGTAATAAATTCAATAATCAAGTGCAGCATCAAATATTTGTCCTCTTGTATTGACAAATATATACTTTTATGGAGTAACCTGGCTTAGATCTAAGTAACCTGCTAATACATAACTTACTCCTGTTATGAGAAGTAATAAATACTTTGTGCTTGTGTAAACGTATCTTTCCAATAGAAGCTTACCTTTTAGGTCGATTTAGAGTGATTCGTGTTACTCTTAAGGGCTTTTAAAGACTTCGCTACAAGATATACAAATACTAATAAGGGATCTTAAAGATATATGATAAAAATGACAATCACGTAGGTAATTAACTAACTTCAGTAAGTAAACCACCTAAAAACACGATCGGAAACAATCAATCTGCAGTACAACACCATCAAATACGCTGATTCCTGATTCAATATTTGGAAAACTTATGAAATCTAGCATGCCGTGTGCTGTTAGGATGTGTGGTGTCCGTTGTGATACACAGAAAAGACCTAAACCAGCTTTTTCGATGTTCCGTTTTGTAGATTTACTTTTGCGCGATACGATCTCCTCATGTAACACTACAGACAGCGCATATCCTGACAGCACACGGCATACTAGGTGTCATAAGTTTTGTAAATATTGAATCTCTTGTTGCTTGTTGTGTTTTTGTTTGTTTACAGATTTCCAGTATACGCGCCTTTCTTGAGCTCAAAAAGACCGTTGCGACCTGTAGTTCCGTTGTTTTTGCGTAAGCCTGTTCGGATAAATATTTTCTCCGACTACCGGTTGACCCCTTTTTAGCATTTCCACAAAAATTAAAAAAAAATGCGCTATTGTGGCCACTTTGTCCGTCCGTCCGTCCGCTCGTTCGTTGGGACGCTACTAGTTCTTTATCTTAAGAGCTATTGTTCTACTTTTTTTGCTGTTTGGTTCGTTATGGTGTCCAGGCTTGCACCAAGGAAGGAATTTTTTCTGCTTTTATTGCTACAAAAGTTATTGTAAAAAAACCAAAAAACCATTTTTCACATGTTCTATAGTTTTACACTTCTGCCATTTATTAACGACCCTAGGGATCGTGTATAATTTTGTATTGCTGCCTGTTGTCTGTCTGTTGGTCTGTCCGTCTGTTTCTTTGTCTGTCCTTGTCCGTGTGAACGATAACTTTGTTTTGAAATGTCCGATCGCTTTGAAATTTGGTACACATATTGTGCTTTGTTAAAAGTAAAATTGATGCTTATTTAAAAAATTGTTTTGCGCATGCGCAATTCAATTTTTTCAATTTTGTATGTGAGCACCTCGAATAAACTAAATAAAACTAATGCCCAATAAAAGATTGGGTTTGGTTATGCGGAATCTAATTTTTTTAATTTGTCATGATGTTTAAATGAAATTTATATGTAGGCACCTCGAGTCAAGTAAAGTTAATACCTATTCAAAAAAATTGTCTTGCCCATACGCAATCCCACTTTTTAGTTTAGGTAAGATATATAAATTACTGAAATTTTGTATGTATAGGCACCACGAGTAAAAGTAAAACTAATGCCGAATCAAGAAATCTGTTTTGCACATGCGCAATCCGGTTTTTTATTTGTGTAAATATTTAAATGACATTTTGTATGGCGGCATTTCGAAAAAGGTACCTAAAACTAATGCCGAATTAAATAAATTTGTTTTGCGCATGCCCCGGCCCACATTCGTTATTTGTAAACCAAAATTCTTCTAAAATTTTAGGGTAGGATTCTTCTTATAAACTGAAATTACACATATTTATTTATTATTTATTTGTGGTCAGATTTTTACGAAATTTTAATAAAAGTTGCATCTTACAAATGGGAAATGAATGCAAGTGGAAATGCGCTGGTTGTTCGGCTGAGATCTCGGCAATTACAGTAGTAGAGACTTCAAATTTCCACTAAAAGCTTTCTGCTATACCTATTGCAGATGTGCAGGCTCTAGTCTATTTTGAGTTAGATTACTCGTGAGATCGATAATTTTAAACTTTACTAATAAAATACTGATCTGTGCTATCTGGATTACCAAAAATGGGCTTTCATCCTGCATATGCTGATTTATAACTTGTTTAACTTGTTTCTTCTAAAATTAATTTAAATTCAAATATTGACATAGCAGATCTTTATATTACATATTTGTAATATTACCATTTTGTTCTAAATACCACATGAGTCTATTGTTGACCATCCTTTCCAGAAGCTTACCCATACCGCAACTTAAACTTAGACTCGAAGGTATCAGTTTTCCATGCATGAGGGTAATTATTTTATATACAAGTCTAAGAGTGATAACTTTGCAGTTGACGGAAGATGTTTTAGGAATATGTACGGGGTGGTGTCATTGAATCTGCGCATCTTAGAGCTTTATCCAACTGGGCCATCGAAAAGGGTGTGTTATACTCGAGGTTGTCCACAGTATCAAAGATGAGATTTGCTCTTTCGGAAAGGCGATTCATAGTGTTCCGTTATACTGCCAGCAATAATTTCGGCAAACTCCTGCGGAGAGTCAGTGTTGGAACCATCTTGAGTTATAATCCGAGTGATTGACGCGACTCTCCTGCCATTAAAAGCTTTATACTTCTCCACGTCTCAGGTGGAGACGTGCTGGGATTAACTAGGGTCTCTTTTGCGTTCTAGAACTATTCTACGCGCCTTCGCCTTAGCTATCTTGAAAGTAATTAAAATTGTGTTCGGTGGGACTTCTTCCATAGGTGTGAGACGAGACCAGATGAAGAAAGCCGTCTTGGTCCTCATTCCGAAAGGCGATCGAAAAGTGATACCAAGAGAGTTCAGTCTGCTGGAGCTACGGAAAAATTGTATCAACACTTCATAGAGGTAAGAATTATGAATAAAATTCGGGATACAATCTATTATATGTACCTACTCCCAAAAGGAATATGTTACACTGGCAACTATTAGACAAAAATTTCTGGAGCAAAACGAATATTTTCAATTTTCCATTGATTCATTGAGAAAGTGGATCAAAAGTATGGGTTTTAAATGGAAGAAGTCCAATAACAGAAAATATCTTATGGATTTACCGGATATTGTCCACAAACGAATAAAATTCTTAAGGGAGTACATTGAAAACAAAAATTTGGGACATGAGGGTTATACTCCGGTTTTTATGGATGAAACCTGGATATTTAGTAAGGGATCATTTCGAAACAGCTGGCAAGATGATACTAAGCACACGGAATCAATTAAACCCAATGAAGGTAAAATAAGATATTATAATACCTTTTCAATATTATTAAAAGAGATATTCTTTAGGTCATCGATACATTATTGTCCACGCTGGGACGAACGATGGCTTTATTGGTGGGGCAAGTTTGATTTTTAAAAGTGGAAAAAAAACAGGGGACTATCATGATAATATGAACAGGGGTAATTTTGAAAATTGGTTCAAGACTCAACTGGTGCCAAATCTTCCTGAAAAATCTTTAATTATTATGGACAACGCAAGCTACCATTCTGGCCTTTTAGAGAAAATTCCCACCAAATCATGGACAAAACAAAGAATGATAGAATGGTTAGGGGAAAAAAATATCGGCTATCCAGAAAAGGCAATGAAGGNGTTCTAGGTAAATTCCTCGAATGCAATTGCTCGAAAGCCAATTGCTCGAGATCAATTGCTCGAAAGTAAGTTGCTCGAATGAAATTTTGCTCGAATTGTAAGTTGCTCGAACAGCAATTCCTCGAATATCTTTTACTCGAAAGATAAAGTTGTGAGATAGCCTTAACTCGAATCATTGATTTGTAAATATAAGAAAACCACAAACAACCAAGTAATGCTTATATTGCTAAATATAGGAATGTGATACAGTTAGGAAGGTACATATTATGAAAAACAAAAATTACATGTTGTCAATATGATATATTATGTGCTATTCCACGAACATAATCATATATATTTATGTCAGGTGCATAACTATTTACTAGTGTTAAAAGTCTTTGTGCACAATCACGGTATACCTTACGACTGATGGTAGGTGGTTGCCCGCTGATATGTTGCTCTATTCGTAATTCGTTTATACTCTGCTCCCTCTTTAATGCCGAAATAAATTTCCAGATGTTTGGATGGTCTGCACACAGTTGCATTTGGAAAGCTCGATGCCATCCCTCCACTGCGTTGTTTGTTTTTGGAAGTCCATGTTGTACGGCATCGAAACAATTCCACATGTTGATCGCGAAATGGGGCGGGCGCCGTCCACGTCGTTGAGGGCGACCGATCCACGTGTCTTCGAAATAATCAACAATAACTTGCAGTTCAGGAGAAAAAATGTTTTGCTCGCAAATGTCTTCAAAAGCAGGAATTACATCTTGAGGTGGAACGAATGCCAAGGCTGGAAGCAGTTTTAATGTCAACGCAACTTCTGGATTTCTCTCGTACTCCCGTTTTAAGCCATTTTCCTGAATGTGTCGGAAAATACTTTGACAGAGGTGAAAGAAGCATCCACGATGTATGGTTTGCGGGAACTCAATTCTTATGGCATTTATCATTGCTACTTCGAAATCTGTCATGATGGTCTGTGGTTGTGCATCATCAGCTGGAAGTAGGTTTTTTATTTCTCGAAGAAGATTTAAGTAGGTTTGCTCTGTCTTATTTGGTAGAAGAGCATATATTAAAGGGATAGCTACATGGTCTTTTATCCCGTGGATGGTATAGAGCTGTAGAAAAAGCGGTGGAACTACTTTGAATGTGCCGTCGGCATACCAATGCTGGGACATCGCCAGAAGGTTGATGTTACGTGCGGTTGAAAAAATCAGAATTCTGTCATTTACTGGCCCTGAATCGTGCAGGAGAAAAAGTTCGCCGTTTGTGGTAATTGTAAACTCTTCTGGGAAAATGATCTCCTCCCGATGTCTTGGTATGGCCGGTGCAACGTTTTCTCTCACTCTGACGTTCCTAATGGTCCGCTTAATATTGTTGACTGTTGGTAATTTAGCTGCAACTGCATTTCCCAAACCAGCAGAAGCTTGGGACACAATGAACTGAGGTGTATCTCTTGTGTTTTCTGCGTCTTCCTTTATTTTCTGCATGACCTTATTGGCTTCCAGCTGCGCTGCGTCGGCATTGTGGTTGTGGTCGTTATTGCTTGACGACACAAAGTTATTCACCGTAATCACACGAGCTTTGCACTTCATTTTCTTGGAGTGCTCGCACTTCCAATAAATTTTGGTATCAACTTGTTTATCCTTGATAAACAAAAAACTTTCGAAAAACAACTTGGATTTCCCTTTCTCACTGGACACGAACTCTAACGCCATGTTCACTTGTGAGCTTTCAAATTTTGAACTAACAAACGTTTTTGGGTTACTAGGCTATTTATAGGGAATTTCTCCTTCCAAATTTCATTGTAAGCATTCTGATGTTAATCACCTATTAGGAATAACCATCATTTCTAATAACAACCATCTCATTAACCTAAGGATAATTACGGAGCAATTATTATACACTCTAATGAAAACCCTAATGCAGATTAACATAATGAAATCATTCGTGAGAAGATGAATAATCATTAATTACATTTAACTGATCATGACTTGCTTTCTCCAAGAAAACCTTATTATGGTGCATACCTCATATTACATATATTGAATGACTTTCACCAATATGGACACTTGTTTTTTTAATTTTTAAAACCCAAGAACCCAAATCAACAATATATGTTCTCACTTTTTATGTTCAGGTTATTTTCATTATCATGGCCACACTACTGAACGGATGTGAAGTACATCTCTTTAGGTATAAGCATAATATAGGCAAAACGTATGGAAGACCTTTCACTTGATCACGCATGCATAAATTTAAGTTAATTGCGAACTTAATTCGAGCAAACCGTTTTCGAGCAATTGCCGTTCGAGGAATTTGTAATTCGAGAAAATTGACTTTCGAGCAATTGATTTTCGAGCAAATGATTTCGAGCAATTGATTTCGAGCAATTGCATTCGAGGAACTTGTCGGCACCGCTCGCTCACCACACGGTACACAACATACTGTAATATCTCCACCTCTAACCCAAACAAACACACAGATACAACTTACCGAACAAACAAGTACAACAAATGATGCAACATATACTACAATCAGAGATTCACCTCTGAAGCAAACCACATTATCACGACCCATTAGTATTCAACCCAAACGCAAAAACCTAAACAGCACTTTAGACTCACAACATGACACACAACATACTGTAATATCTCCACCCTTAACTCAACCAACCACACAAACACAACTCCCTGAACAAACAAACGCAATAAATACAAGTAACGCAACATGCACTACAAAGACAGGTCCACCAAATAAAGTTACACGCCCTAGCACAGTTAAAAAACACAATACTTCTACTTCTCAGAAACAACCCACTCGTATTCAACCGAAACGCAAAAACCTTAACAGCACTACAGGCTCACAACATACTGGAATATCTCCACCAAAAACCCAAGCAACCTCACAAATACGACCTCAGGAACAAAGAAACACCATAAATACAATTAAAAAACACAAAACTCCTTCTTCACAGAAACACACCACGTTATTACAACCCACTCGTATTCAACCCAAACGCAAAGCTAAAGAAACACTTACACAATAAACTCCATTTAATAAAATTACAGGAATTATTATAATGAGTTTTTTTTGTTTTTTTTTTGTTTTGTTTTGTTTTCCTCTTTCCTCAATAGCTATGTTGGTAAGTATGAATTACATACTATCTCTAGCTTTCCAATGTGAGTGTGTGAATTTTTAACCCTACATAACTTCACCAGACACAGACGACACAGACACTAATCGTTACTTGATTTTAATCCGTGCGATTAGTTAACCAGGCTATACCTGAGTTCTCACAAGAAACACCGACCATAATAATAAAACACCCAAGACGCACTACACTGGAATCGCACTATATATACCAACCAAACTGTCCACCACAACAGACCCGACACAATAATATGGAATAAAACGACGAAAACTGTTCATCTTGTAGACTACGCAGTAGTAAACACTAATAATATAACAAAAACATACAATGAAAAAATAAGAAAATATCAAGATCTAAAGGTAGAAATAAAAGAACTCTGGAAAGTAGAGAAAGTACAAATCCACCCAATAATTATGTCAACCACAGGAATCATACCCAAATCCATGTCTAAACACATACAAGAACTAAACATCGACAAATCAATCATAGGTAAAATGCAACAGACAGTCATACTGTCGATCTGTTACTTATTTAGGAAAACGCTGGAATGATCTGTTCATAAAGGAGATTATTCGAATTGACAAAGTCTGCGAATAACTCCTAATAATAATACCCATCAAGGAAGATACCGGAAGATAATAATAATAATAATAATAATGCCATTTATTAATCACGTACAGTTATTTTTACAATAAAACATTGTTTACTATACATATACTGTGTACGCAACTAAAAGGGCGAAGTTCAGATGCTAGTGACGAAATTCGCCCACAAGCCCTGCTCTACCACTTAACCCTTACTATAATTTTACATCTTATAACTATAAATGAACGTGAAATGACTGAAAAATTATAATTAAAACCATTTATCTTGTACGAGTGCAAAAAAAAAACAAAAAATAAACGTAATATCGTATTTGGATCGAATACATACATTAATCATTGTTGAAAGATAAAATCATAAAATGATAAAGAAATTTCTATTGAAAGAAGAAAAAAAGAAAAAAAAAACAAAAACAAAGCAAAACAAGAAGCGTATTCTGTAACAAAATTGGTACTGAAGATTAATATGATTTAAATTTATTACGAATGATTTTGAGAATTGATTAAGAAACTGTGTAACTGAATTTTAAAGGACCTAACAGATAACTTTTTTAGATTACTCGGCAAATCATTATAATTACAGCTTCGCAATATTATAGGTAAAGGACCTTTCAAATAGTGCTGTTTTGTGGAAGGGAGGTGTAATCAAGAGATTGAATCTAGGGTTCGAGCTAAAATGGATCTTACTATACAAATACCTTGGTGTTTTGCTCCAGATTAGATTATTTTGTGAAATAAAACTAGAGAATGGTATTTCCTTCTGTTCGCCATATTTAACCATTTCAGATCAGATAATCTATGGGAAATGCGATCATATTTTCTTATTCCGAATATCAGACGCATACAAGAATTTTGCATTCGTTGTATACGTCTAACATCGGTACTGTCAAGGCATGCACCATACACCGAATCGCAGTAGTTAAAATGAGACAGCACTATATTGAGTCACATAATATACTTTTTACTTTTTAGCGCATTTCCACAAAAATAAAAAAAAAATGCGCTATTGTGGCCACTTTGTCCGTCCGTCCGTCCGTCCGTCCGTCCGTCCGCTAACTTTGCGACGCTACTAGTTTTTTATCTTAAGAGCTATTGTTCTACTTTTTTCGCTATTTGGTTCGTTATGGTGTCGAGTCTTGTACCAAGGAAGGAATTTTTTCTGTACCGCTTACAAAAAAAGTTATTGTAAAAAAAACAAAAAACCGTTTTTTACATGTTCCATAATTTTACACTTTTGCCGTTTATTAACGATCCTAGAGATCGTTTATAATTTTG